AAAATATTTGATTTACAAATAAGGAATCCTACTTCGCGGAATTTCATTTATCACGGTAGGATCTAGAACCGATTAACCGTGATAAACGAAGGTTCACTGTATATGCTATTTGTAAGAGATACATCTTAAAAGGGAAGACACTAGGGATTGAAAGTGAAAATGTGGGGAAAATATTTCATGCAAATAATAACCAGAAGACAGCTGGAGTAATAAATTTAATATCATACAAAGTAGCTTTGGAGTCAAATTCTGTCAGAAGAGATAGTAAGGGTAAATAAAACAGGGTTGTGAGTCAGGTCCCAGTTTCTACATGCAGGGTCTGTATCAAACAAAACATGTGGCCAGTGGGTGCTGCAAACAGGTTATCTCAGTCATGCACTTGTCTTAGTCTCGTTGGGCTTCTGTCAAGTGGCTTCCTATCAATCTACTGGGCTAATTAAACTTAAGATCTGGTGCCAGAGTGGTTTACGAGTTGGACTGTGCTCGGAAAGGTCAGCAGTTCAAAACCACCGGTCAGCTCCACGAGACAAAGACAAAGCTTTCTACTCTTGTACAGTCTTGGACACTCAGAGGGGGCAGTTATACCTGCTTGATAATGTTGCTATAAATCAAAATTGGCTTGATGACACTGAGTTTGGTTTGGGATTTAGAAGATTATGGAAATTGTTTCTTGAAGTTCCAAGGACGTAATCTTGATAGGACAATCACAGGAGTTATCAGGAAGAAGTTTTCAAGAACTGAACAACCGCACTGGTGGGGAAAAGGAAAGTTGTGCTGAGTCATTTCTTTCCATCATAGCAATCTACCTGGCTACTCTTGACGGGTAACAAGGAAGAGCCTGTGAGGATCTCATTGGAAAACTTTACCCTATCTGCCTGGGAGTCCTGATCTTGACATCGTTTTATTTCAAAAACTCAAAGACCATTTAAAAGGAACATGACTTGGGTCCATGGAAGATGTCAAACCTACTGTTACGACATTCGGTAAATCAAAGAATACAGAGAGAAATGGAAACACTCTCTTCAGATGTGCATAAAAATAGATGGTGAATATGCTAAGAATAAAGAGCTTCACATTTTGGTATTTTAGTGTACTAAAGGCGTCTTTAATTTTGTAGTCATATTTTCTTACTGTTTAGAGTGATAAAAGGGCAATATACTCAAGTACAAGCCAACCCAACTATCAATCGAGGCACCTAATTTTACCACAAAAACTGCATGAAAAAATGCGCTGAATGAGCCAGTTCGGGTGCAGCACAGCAACATGAAACAAACAACTTTCCTCTAGCTCTTTAATGCTCCCCTCCCCCACCCCACCCCCACTATCATGACCTCAATTCTCCCTTACAAATCCGGCTAGACCAGAGGGTGTACACTGGTACAGACAGGAACTGGAAACACAGGAAATCCAGGGTGGATGGTCCCTTCAGAACCAGTGCTGAGAGTGGCGATACCAGGAGGGTAAGGGAAAGGTGGGGTAAAAAGGGGGAACCAATCACAATGATCTATATATAACCACCTCCCTGGGGGCCAGACAACAGAAAAGTGGATGAAGGGAGATGTCGGACAGTGTAAGACATGACAAAATAATAATAAATAAATGATCAACGGTTCTGGGGGTGGGGAGGGAGGGGGAAAATGAGGAGCTGATACCAAGGGCTCAAGTAGGAAGCAAATGTTTTGAGAATGATGATGGCAACAAATGTACAAGTGTGCTTGACACAATGGATAGATGGATGGATTGTGATAAGAGTTGTATGAGCCTCCAATAAAATTATTTTAAAAAGGAAAAAAAAGTGCTGAAAAACTAGGCTTATACTCAAGCATATACGGTAACCAAGAAGATGCATCAATCTCACACACACACACAAACATCAGGCACCTAAACACAGAAAGCAAACACTGATAGAATTTAAAAGAGAAATAATACAACAATAATAAAAGACTTTAAGACATTATTTTCTGGCTAGACCAGAGGATGTACACTGGTACAGATAGGAACTGAAAATACAGGGAATCCAGGGCAGATGCGCCCTACAGGACCAGTGGTGTGAGTGGCGAAACAGGGAGGGTA